CCTCCCCCACCTGGCCTCCCTCTCCCCCCTCGGGTCTCCACCTCTCCCACCTGGGCCTCCCCCTCCCCCACCTGGGCCTCCCCCGCCCGCCTCTGGGCCTCCTCCTCCCCCACCTGGGCCTCCTCCTCCCCCACCTGAGCCTCCCCCTCCCCCCTTTGGGCCTCCCCCTCCTCCCACCTGCATCTCCCCCACCCCCCTCTGGGCCTCTTCTGGGCAGCGTGCCCAGCCCTGGGACTTCTCTGCCCTCCTAGGAATGCTCTCTGACTTCTCCCTGATGTAGATGCTCTGTTTTCTGGATCGTGTGTCCTGCCTTTTCTTGGTTTACTCCCTTGTTTTGCTGAAGCACACCCTCCAGTAGCTTTGTCACGTGAATGTGATGATACAGGAGCCACGGACACAGTGAGTTTTGCTGTGAATTCATTCTGATTGCCCTCTGCCCGGGACACAGGTGTAACTCTCTGAGCTGTAACTTCTCCGTCATCCTGAGGACTCACTTTTCCTCCCTCGTGTTGGAGTTCCGTTTTTCTCCATCCCAGGCTGAGATACCAAATTCAAGCTTTTTGAAGATTCTGTGACATTGATCTAGCTGGTTCTTAGCTTTCTCCCTGACAGCTCAGAGAGGTTACAGCCTTCTTGGTTTCTCTAGGCACCCATCACTGGCTGGCTGCTTCCCAGCTCTCAAAATCGTGTTGCTCTTGTCTTTTTAGGTCCGTGAGAGAGCAAAATTAGATGCCTGTGTCTAGTCAGTGTCTTTTCCAGAACTCACATCAGTCTCAGGTCCTCGTAGTAATTCCTGAGACACTGTAAGCTCCCAATACGTGGAATTGGTTACTGTTGCTGGCCAGCTCCCTTCATTCTAAAAAGTAAATTGTAAAAATCTCTTTTTCTAGCCGGTGTTACTGCTGCCTCCGTGCCCACCCAGCTTGGGCAATGTGACCGGTTTGAGTTCGAGTGCCACCAGCCAAGGAAGTGCATCCCCAACTGGAAGCGCTGTGATGGCCGTCGCGACTGTCCGGGAGGCCAGGACGAGGCCGGCTGCCGTGAGCTGGGGGCTCAGCCCAGGGCGGGGTGCCATTACCGTGTGTCGTTCGTCTCACTCACCTTGTCATTTTGGTATCATCTCTACTACGGGACAGGAAAATTAGGCTTCAGAGAGGACATGCCATCAGTAACAGACTGGAGTATTTATTTAGTTTTGGGGGGTTTTTGGGTACAAAGTTATCTGTTTATTATTATTATTTTAATTGATTTCAGAGAGGAAGGGAGAGGGAGAGAGAGAGAGAAACATCAATGATAAGAGAGAATGATTGATCGGCTGCCTCTTGCACGCCCCCTACTGGGGATCAAGCCTGCAACCCTGGCATGTGCCCTTGACCGGAATCAAACCTGGGACCCTTCAGTCCACAGGCTGACGCTCTATCCACTGAGCCAAACTGGCCAGGGCCAAAGTTGTTATCTTTTTATCATGTCTTGTTGAAAGTTCTTATAGGGTGAGTACTCCAAAATAACACGGAGAAATTAGATAAGGATTAGTGTAAAATTTCACATTTCATTAAAAGAACAAAGTGTATACCATTGGGACATTAAGGTAACAGGTCAGATCTAACCCACACTTGTCAAAATAATAGCAGGAATATCTGAGCCAAGGAATTAATCACAATAAGATGGGAAATAGTCAACAACAAGGAGTTGGAATAGGACCTTCCTTCTGGGTGAGATGAACTCATTGATTGGTATTCATTCTTTAAATAAGTTTAGCCGGTTTTAAATCTGCCTTTTCTTAAGGATGTTGCTTAGTTAAGGCTCTTAAAACCCAGATGTGCTCTCCGACGAGTGTGACTCACTAATCTGAGAGCCTGTCTGAGAGGAAATGGGATGAGTGCAGCCTGACTCCTCTGAGAGGACGGCCCCTGAGCACCCTGCACTCTGTCCCACGTGCCCACCAATACATGTTTAATCACCAGGTCAAGACTTTCAGAGATAATGACGACCTCATTTCTAACTTAAACCCTATGTTTTCCCACTTTCAAAATTTTGAGGCATGTTTCATGAACCTCAGACACCTTCCAGCTTCACTACTCAGCTGTTGGATTATATTTTACGACATTCTTACCATATGGAATAATTCTGCGATGGGGACCTTGGACTTTTCCGAACCAATCCTCTCCTGAGCAGAGGCTCTTCCCTACCTGTCCTGAAAAAGTGACTCTCCCCACCCCGCCCCCTGCTCCCCGTCACGCTCGTACTGTTACTCTCTTTGTAGCTCTTATTACTACTAGTATCCAGAATGACTCATTTGTTTACTTCTTTGCTGTCTCTCTCAATAGAAGATAAGCTCTTTGAGGGCAGGTCCTTTGTCTGGTTTACACATCACCTCTTCATCTTATTCATCTCATTCATTGGGAGATGTCCCTGAATGTTTGTTGGATGGATGGATGGATAGATGGGTGGATGGGTGATGGGTGGGTAGATGGATAATGAGTGGCTGGCTGGCTGGATGGGTGCCTGGGTTAGTGGTGGGTAGATGGATGGATGGGTGGGTAGTGGATAATGGGTGGCTGGCTGGCTGGATGGGTGCCTGGGTTAGTGGTGGGTAGATGGATGCGTGGGTGGGTGGATGGATAATGAGTGGCTGGATGGATGACTGGATTAGCGGTGTGTAGATGGATGGGTGGATGGATGGATGGGTGGGTAGATGAATGTAGGTGGATGGATGGGTGGGTGGCTGGGTTAGTGGTGGGTGGATGGATG